GGGGAAAAATAAGGTGATTAAAAGCATAAAATAAGAAATCTCATCATCTTCCCCCCTTCCCTATTGCTATTCAAGTTTAAAGGGATGCAAGGGTAGAGGGGGAAAGGGGTTTTACAAAGTAGATATACTTAAGACACAGTGATAGTGGTTCAGAAACATAAAAGGTAGACATGGTCTCGTAGGTCAGAAACCTGTCACTTGGGAAGTGTGTTTTTCACTGTAAAACAGCCTTCCCCATGTTCAGTTTTCCCTAGTGGAGCCACTGTGACTGATGGCATCAGAGGCCTCTGGTGTGTTGGGGCAGAACCAGTATCTTAGGTGAAACACCTACACTTCATCTTCAAAAGTGAACGTTTCAAAACTCCTAGAGAAAAAGGACTAGGCAGGAGAACTGAAAGACCTCTGATTTGAGCACCAAAGGCCACAGAACAATCTCAGATGTCTGGCATCTTCAGATGGCCCAAGGAAATTAGTGAGAAAATAGGACATGCTATGCAAATATCTGGCCTCCACACTAACAGGATTCCCTCTAACGTTAAACAGAAATAACATAACTATATCCCTCTTTTTGACAAAATATATACTGTTTGTTCCATCGCAACATGGAAATTATAAGTTTGGTCTTACCTGTGGTTCTACCAGGGACATTCTGATTTTCTGATGCTGAAGATTAGAAGAGTCTAACATGATTTTTACTTTAACTTTATCAAATATATGGAACACTGTATCTTCTACTTTAAGTGAAGGTATCTAAACAAAACACATTTTGTCACTCTTAATTACTTTCTTACATTTGAGGCTTTGTTCTAATTCTTTACAGTTTATCTTTCATAGTAATTTAAAAGTTTAAATTTCAAAATTACTTCCATATTAATAAGCCTCTGGGTGTTCAATATAACAAAAACCACAAACCTAGTAGTCTCACATAAATATGACCTACTTACGTGCATACTTTCTCCTTTCATTAATGTGGTCCCAATATATTCATTAATCTCAGGTTTCTCGCCCCACTATTTAGCAAATTGCTGGTCTAACAGAGGAGCATAAAGGCACTTTGGCTATTTTTTGTTTTGTTTTGTTTTGTTTTTAAGTTCCCAGATGCCATTAAGAAACCACAAAGATACTTTGGATGGAATTTATTGTTTAAATATTCTATCAGAGTTGCAGTTATAAGGTTAGGGGAGTAGGGAGAGGGTCAGTTAAAAAAAATTTCCTTTAACTGACACTGAAAGTCAGTTAAAAAAAATTTCCTTCCCTAAGCTATAAGCAACCATTTATTCCTTTAATTTGTCTGTCCACCTGGGGCAAAACTTTACATGGTACTAAAAAAAAAAAAAAAAAATCAAGGACATTTATTTGTATATGGGAAGATATACAGAGGTGAGAAACGGTGAGTAAAACCATAGCTTAGGTTGGCATAATTAAATGCAGATTTTCTGGCATACAGAGATTGGGATAAATTCTGTAGGGTACAAAAAATAATTTTACACTATATAGGTCCCATTTGCGAACTGTTAAAGAAAAAGCGCCCCCTCAAAAGAACACAAAAACATTAGAAACACTGTACCTCATCATCGTAAGTAAGCCCTGGCTTTGGCTTGTCCTTTTCTTCAAAAAAGACTGTACCTTCTAAGCCATACTTTGGAATTAACACCACAATAGCGTTCTTTCTTACAAATAGAATATAGGCTTCTTCACTTACTATTCCTTTGCTTTTGAAAAATAACTGTAAAGTAACATACAACGTTATTAAAAGAAGCCTTAAAATATTTTGCAAGTAAAAAAATTTTTTGAAATTAAAAAACGAACAAAACATCTCTTACATTATTGCTAGAAGGCAAATACCTGGGTATGAAAAGCGACTGATGCACGTTGGGCATATTGAGCCATTTTGTGCCGGAAATTGAGATTTTTACATATATCTGCAAGCTTGTGCTTGTCTGTCAACTCTGGGTAAGTACAGTCGGCCCCGATAGCCACAGCCAACAGCCGATGAACAATGATGTCTGCATATCTAGATGAATGAAGGAGAAATAAGAACCATGATATGTTAGTATTAAAATGTCTTTTTTAAATTCAAAATTAACTATTTTCTATCTCCTTTAATTTTATAAAGAAAAAAATACCTTCTGATGGGTGAAGTAAAATGTGTGTATATTGGGGATGCCAAGCCATAGTGATGAAAATCGTTATCCATCCCAGAACAGAAGTACACAGCTTGCATCATACAGCGAGTGGTTAATATTCTTAACAGAGTGTTTAGATATGGGAAAGCAGGAGATTCGGCCCGGTCCAAAGAGTCAGCCAAAGACTTGGCTGTATCAGTCTTAATCTCCAAATTCTGTGAATAAAAAGGTAGTAAGAACATTATATTAAACATTTCTAAGTCAGTACCATCATATCTTCAAAATAACGAATCAGACTGAGCAAACAGTGTTTTTGTTATTTTTCTTCCATTCAAAGTAAAGATAGAGGCCATAAACAAAACTGTACTGGTCACTATAGCTCAGTCAGAACAATGTTCTGATTCATCAGATTTATCTGCTTTGATCTACCTTAGGGAAATGAGTCAAAAATACTTAAATCATTCTTCCTCTACCTAGGTCTTAGGTAGAAATTAGACAGAGAAAAATCTCTCAATTTATGGCATAAGTTTTGGAGCAGGAGAGTGAGAAGCTGATTCAGTTCCGATAGACAGAGGCAGGCCATAGAAAGGTCTGAGCCAAAATCAGAAATCAGCACCATCCTTTTAGAATAATGCCCTGTAATCTACTGCTATCCCTTCCAGCTCTCTCCTGACCAAGTGATTCAAGAAAAACCCATGTAAGCCATAGTCACTCCAGGAGTAACTAAGCCTAAATAAAAGTCTACTAACCAGTGGCACACAGGGCTGAGAAAATGGTGCCCTTTCTATGTTTTCCCTCTTTTCTATGTATGCAATAAATAGACTTCTTTCTTAGGGACATGATATGAAGAGGGCTTAGCTGAGTTGAAGTAAAGAGAAAGACAAATTATTTGTAAATCTCCAAAGCTAGGCAGTTCACAAAAGCCATGAAGCAACACAGGCATAAAAAATGTATAAAAGCCCAGAGATATGGAATAACTTTATGTCCAAGATACTGCAAATAACTAAGTCTAGAACATCTGGCTTTAGCATAGGTGGCTCTTTAAAGACATTAAAAGATTTTATTAAGCAGATGACTTCAATGTAGAAATAGATGACCATACTCAAGTTAGGTATTTTTTTTTTCATCAAAAGAACTACTGGCAGAATTCTGCATTGAAAAACAACAAAACTTATGGAGATGTGAATATAAATTATTCAGTGCAATGGATAGATCATAACACAAATACAGATGATTCCTCACACTATAGGACCTTACCTTTGACTTAGCTGCCTTAACAAGAATTTCATAATTTGATGGAGGTGGAGCAGGATGTTTTCGAAGGAGGGCATGTTCAGAAAATTCTTCATGAATTCTCTTTGCAACAGAGATATTGGCAAGTAACATAAATTCTTCCACCATGGAATTTGTTTCTCTGCCAATGCAAAAA